CTCAAGACTCCGCTCCAATATAGAAGCATCAAGAAATATGGACCAATAGGCTTTCTACAAACACTTCTATTCAATATCCATTGTTTCGTGTTCTGTCTTGTGTTGATGAAATTAATACCCTATTAATGCCACATCTTGTTCTGTCTTGTGTTAATGCCACATCACCCCTTCCACCTCACTCAAATGTAGATATAAAATCGGAGATGCGTAAGTTCTATTCAGTTGTGTATTTGTGAACTAAAGTCTTTGAAAATGTAATAAGTTTTACGAAACGCGCTCATGTCGCGTCAGACTAGAAATAAAAATGAATTTTGGAGAATTGATTTTTGATTTACCTCCAACAGTGAAAGGAAATGTACGAAAGATTGAGAAAATTCGTGTTAGAATTATTAATCTTACTTTTTCGGTCATATTTAATAATATATGTCTACAGGAAAGACTGCTACCAAAATATATACTAATATATATATATATATATATATATATATATATATATATATATATATATATATATATATATATATATATATATATATATATATATATATTTATATATATATTAGTATATTTTGGTAGCAGTCTTTCCTGTAGACATATATTATTAAATATGACCGAAAAAATAAGATTAATAATTCTAAAACGAATTTTCTCATTGTTTCTTATATTTTTCTTCACTGTTGATGGTAACTGAAAAATCAATTCTCCAAAATTCATTTTTATTTCTAGTCTGACGCGACACTTGAGCACGTTTCATAAATCTTATTACATTTTCAAAGACTTCAGTTTACACACACACAACTATAACTGAACAGAGCTTGTTTGTTGTTGTTTAAGATTCGCTACTCAGAACGATAAGTTCCAGTAGCACGGGCTATGGTGAGCCCATAAGTGGAGGCTCTTTGGAGCCATTATCTGTATCAGTGGTTGATACTAGAGATGTGGCGATGGATGGGGGTCTTCATGATGGTTTTCAGCCTGGAGGGCTGGCTATACCAGTTATGGAGCTGGTGGAGTTGGTGTAGACCTCTAGGTTTTCCGTTTTTTCTTTGCCTGCGACTTTGGCTGAGCAGTGCTGTCGTTAGAGTTTGGTGACGTGGCCTCCATGAGGAAGTCTTGAACCGTGTAGGTGTCGTATTTGTGATGCGGCGGTGGAGCTCCTACTATGATTTCCTCGTCTGAGGAGTCCGTAACCTCCGTAGTGGGCGTTTTTGTCTTTCGCCTCGCAGCCTTAGGTAGGTTTAGGTGTCGTTGATTGGTGGTTGTAGCTATTTCAGGAGCGCTGGTGGTGCTGTTATCGGTTGTAGACAGCACGTCTGCTAGTGCGGCTGCTGAGATAGTGATGGTAGGAGTGTTGGGAGCTGGAGAAGGAATTACCTCTGTTTGTGTCGCCCGGGTCATGGTCGGTTCTGGAGTCGGTGTTGAAGTTGACCGCATGGTCGTCCTGGTGGTAGTCTCCGGAGTGGTAGAGGAGGCAGTGAGATTTACGCTAGTGGCTATGATGGGCGCCAGGCCATTGTCTATGTATAATGCGTCTAGTTCACTGACAAAGCGCTGGTTGTCTGGTCCTGCAAGCCTTTCCGCTAGTTTAAGAAGACCAGGGATAATGCCTGCACGTGATGCAGGGGGCTGTGAAGGAGCCTGTGGGACCTTGGGTTCCCAATGAGAAGGCTGTGTCGCCTGCTGGGAGGAGCCACATGTTGGTAGGACCGGATAGTCTTCTGGTCGACTAGTGAGAGCTAAGGTGGTGAGTTGAACGCTTGGGGCTCTGGTCGAGGAGGTAGACGAGTTGTTTCTTTTGGCTTCAACCTGGGCCTTGATGATTTCCTGTCTGCGGGGGCAGCGGTAGGAAATTGCGGGGTGATTGCCATCACAGAGCAAGCAGTGATGGACTGTTGCCTTGCATATGGAGTAGTGATGGTCCAGTGCGCACAGGCTGCACTTCTGGACAGGGTGCTGACACTTGTTGGTTGGGTGGGAGAGCTCGTAGCTCTTAAAGCACTGCTGGATCTCATGGTATCGTTCCTTTTTTATTTGGTGGGGTGGTATTTTTAGGCCGAAGCAGTAGAATCCTTGTGTGGCAGCCTGGGTGGCCGCAGCTATGGTGGTGAACGTAATCGTCATTGATGTTTTGTCGGTGTTGCAGAACTCTAGGTTGAATACCGACAGGTTTGGATTTTCGTCCTCGATATTGTTTATGATATGATGTTGAGGTCGCTCAGCGATCCACCGGCTAGTCCTGCTGGTAAAAACAGTTCTTCCGGCCAGGAACTGACGTGGGAAGTGAGGATGTAGGTAGTGCTCTTTGCGAAGAAAGGCATCGTTAGTGAGGAGTTTTTCTAGCTCCTCTTCACATGAGAAGTAGAGCACGATATCTTCACCTTCCTGGCTAATGTCAGCGGGTTTGAGGCCAGTTACGTCCTTCAGGACCTTTAAAGTATTGCTTCTTCCGATAGCATGACCGTCAAGTGGAGTAGCTCTGACTTTAAGACGTTTGGGTCGCATTGTGACCACACTGCGCCTTGTGATGTGTTGGCGGGAGATGTCTCTCCCGTCCTGTGTGTGTCGACAGAGCTTAAACATCTTCGATTTTATACCTGCATTTGGGTGAGGTGATGTGTTACAACAGTTTTGGATGAGGTGAAAACAAACTTTCAACACAAGACAGAACACGAAACAATGGGTATAATATTTTGTAAGTTAAAGGGAAGAATGGAAGTAACTGCAAAGGGCCTATTGGCCCATATTTCTTGATGCTTCTATATTGGTGCGGACTCTTGAAGTGGGTAGAATATAGTTGTGCATTAATTGGCTGTTGATTGCTGGTGTCGACTTCTTAATGTGTAGTGCCTCGCAGATATCTAGCCGCCTGCTATCGCTGTATCTATCGATGATTTCTGTGTTTTTTGTTAAGACTTCTCTGGTGAAGGTCTGGTTGTGGGAAGAGATTATATGTTCCTTAATGGAGCCCTGTTGCTTATGCATCGTTAATCGCCTGGAAAGAGATGTTGTTGTCTTGCCTATATACTGAATTCTTTGAGGCTTACAGTCCCCAAGTGGATATTTGAAGGCATAGACGACATTGGTCTCTTTTAAAGCGTTCTGCTTTGTGTCTGGAGAGTTTCTCGTGAGTAGGTTGGCTGTTTTCTTGGTTTTATAGTAGATCGTCAATTGTATCTTCTGATTTTTGTCTGTAGCGATAACGTTTCTATTAACAATATCTTTCAAGACCCTTTCCTCCGTTTTATGAGCTGTGGAAAAGAAGTTCCTGTAAAATAGTCTAATAGGGGGTACAGGTGTTGTGTTAGTTGTCTCTTCAGAGGTTGCATGGCGTTTCACCTTCCTTCTTATGATGTCTTCAACGAAACCATTGGAGAAGCCGTTGTTGACTAGGACCTGCCTTACCCTACAGAGTTCTTCATCGACTTGCTTCCATCCTGAGCTGTAGCTGAGAGCACGGTCGACATAAGCGTTAACGACACTCCTCCTGTACCTGTCTGGGCAGTCACTGTTGGCATTGAGGCACATTCCTATGTTTGTTTCCTTAGTGTAGACTGCAGTGTGGAAACCTCCGCTCCTTTCCATGGCTGCTACATCTTGAAAGGGCAGCTTCCCATCCTTCTCCATCTCGTAAGTGAAACGTAACACAGAATTCTGCTCAAATGCCTCCTTCAGCTTCTGCAGATGTCAGACATCTGCAAGAGGTGAAGGAGGCATTTGAGCAGAATTCTGTGTTGCGTATATATATATTATATATATATATTATATATATATATATATATATATATATATATATATATATATATATATATATATATATATATATATATATATATATATATATATATATATATATATATATATATATATATATATATATGAATGCATTACTGGAATTATTGATCTTGTAGAAACTATGTACTACAGGCATTGTTGATCTTATAGTATGAACTTTCTATGCTTCTACAATCACCTTCTGTGGTGCTGTTTGGTGAAGTCTGGATCTGAGCGTAGGCATGGTATCAAAGTCGTTACTTTTGTGTATTTAGGGTGTTTTTTTCTCTTATGAGTATAGCTTCCAGTATTTACAGTCTTCTGCGGTCAGAGGTGGATGTGAGGATTGTTGTATTATCTACTAGCATGTTTCTAGTGAGTGTTGTGTTATGTACACATTGTATAAGGTTTCTAGGAAACATGGCAGGTCAGTCTTCTCGAAAGCTTTGTAGTCGTCATACCAATATAAGTAGATCGAAGGTGACATCCTTCATTGGGACAGATAAACTAGTATACCACGTTTACTTTTTGGAGAGGGTTGCATTGTGTATTTGGGCTCTTATTGAATATTAAATCATCAGTCATTTTTGTTTTGTAGTAAATAAAAAAATTCCAATGTTTGGTCTGGGGTTTTCAAATGGAGTGAAACCGCCAGAAAGATTCAGAACAAACTAATATTAACTTACCTACTTTTCTTCTTACGGTGGAAACTATAGTTTCAGGGTGAGAATGGAAATGAGTTAATCAATATTTTTTATTTTATTATGTCACCCTTTGTGTGAACCGTAACTCCCGAGCGCCTTCAACGCATAACAGTATAATTGTAAAGTTAACAGTGCTGGTCACATCCGCGACCGGCAGACTCCCTGACCAGCAGACTCCCTTACCAGCAGACTCCCTTACCAGCAGACTCCTTGACCAGCAGACTCGCGGCATGCCAAACATGGTCCCAGGCACAGCCAGCACCTGATCTGCCGGACGTATACAGGTAAACATTATTAAAAAAAAAACAGGTGACACCTTGCTTTAATTGTTGTTATTGTACTTTATTTTCATCTGCCACAACGCAGCTTGACGACCTTCGCAACAGGATCCTGGAACTGCGTACCATGACTGTTGGAGACGCCGCAGACAAGAAGGTAAGTGTTTGGCTCTGTTGTACATGGGAGATTTTTCAGTCAAGAACCACATGAAGGGATTACATCTGTCCAGATCCACAGGAGAGGTCTTCATCTGTCCAGATTCACAGAAGAGGTCTGCATCCGTCCAGATCCACAGGAGAGATCTGCATCTGTCCTGATCCACCGAAGAGGTCTGAATCTATCCAGATCCACAGGAGAGGTCTGAATATGTCCATATTCACCGAAGAGGTCTGAATCTGTCAAAAGGAGCAGATGAGGCTTGTATCAATCTAAAACAATAGTTGTGAATCATTACTGAGATTTGCCTCGGTCGAGTGGGGGTCTCAGCTGATGCAAATCTTAAAATTTACAATTGTCGAGAACTAAAGGTTAGATGTTCATTTGTAGCGAACAATAAATGATGTTTATATTTGTCGAGGACCAAAAAATTCCTATTAATGTCATGAGCATTTACAGAAAACCATGGGTGATGTCGCTCTGCCGATAGCAACATTTTCATTATATATGCAAGAGACAAACCTTAGTAATCTCTTTCTAACTATGGGAAGTGGGAATTGGAAAATATCACATGTATGCAGAGGATCAAAACGACACACATTCACACAACTCCAAGAACAGACAATATATTAGAGCACAGTTGAGGAGGAAAACAGGTTAATTAATTTATATTGGGGGATATAAAACTAAATTTAATATGTTAAACTTCAGTAAAAACTGATCGAGGGAATGGGAAAGTTTTAAACAAAGCTGGCAAACAGGGACCCTAACAGAGATAAGGAAAGGGATCCCTAAGAGAGATAATGACAAGGACCCTAACAGAGATAATAACAGTGACCCTAACAAAGATAATTCCAGTAACAGAAAAATATTTAAGGAAAGAGCAAGTGAGAAAGAAAAGTATATGTAGGAGAGGTCAGGGTGAGTTGTGCTTTTGTCAGTGTGACCTGTGCTCTTGTGAGTGTGACCTGTGCTCTTGTGAGTGTGACCTGTGCTCTTGTGAGTGTGACCTGTGCTCTTGTGAGTGTGACCTGTGCTCTTGTAAGTGTGACCTGTGCTCTTGTGAGTGTGACCTGTCCTCTTGTCAGTGTAACCTGTTCTCTTGTGAGTGTGACCTGTGCTCTTGTGAGTGTGACCTGTGCTCTTGTGAGTGTGACCTGTGCTCTTGTGAGTGTGACCTGTGCTCTTGTGAGTGTGACCTGTGCTCTTGTGAGTGTGACCTGTGCTCTTGTGAGTGTGACCTGTGCTCTTGTGAGTGTGACCTGTGCTCTTGTGAGTGTGACCTGTGCTCTTGTCAGTGTAACCTGTGCTCTTGTCAGTGTGACCTGTGCTCTTGTCAGTGTGACCTGTGCTCTTGTCAGTGTAACCTGTGCTCTTGTCAGTGTAACCTGTGCTCTTGTCAGAATAACCTGTGCTCTTGTCAGTGTAACCTGTGCTCTTGTCAGTGTAACCTGTGCTCTTGTCAGTGTGACCTGTGCTCTTGTGAGTGTGACCTGTGCTCTTGTCAGTGTGACCTGTGCTCTTGTCAGTGTGACCTGTGCTCTTGTCAGTGTGACCTGTGCTCTTGTCAGTGTAACCTGTGCTCTTGTCAGTGTAACCTGTGCTCTTGTCAGTGTGACCTGTGCTCTTGTCAGTGTGACCTGTGATCTTGTCAGTGTAACCTGTGCTCTTGTCAGTGTGACCTGTGCTCTTGTCAGTGTAACCTGTGCTCTTGTCAGTGTAACCTGTGCTCTTGTCAGTGTGACCTGTGCTCTTGTCAGTGTGACCTGTGCTCTTGTCAGTGTGACCTGTGCTCTTGTCAGTGTGACCTGTGCTCTTGTCAGTGTAACCTGTGCTCTTGTCAGTGTAACTTGTGCTCTTGTCAGTGTAACCTGTGCTCTTGTCAGTGTAACCTGTGCTCTTGTCAGTGTAACCTGTGCTCTTGTCAGTGTAACCTGTGCTCATGTCAGTGTGAAAAGGTGTTCTTGTCAGTGTGACCTGTGCTATTGTCAGTGTGACCTGTGCTCATGTCAGTGTGAAAAGGTGCTATTTTCAGTGTGAACTGTGTACTTGTCAGTGTGAAAAGGTGTTCTTGTCAGTGTGACCTGTGTGAAAAGGTGTTCTTGTCAGTGTGACCTGTGTGAAAAGGTGTTCTTGTCAGTGTGACCTGTGCTCATGTCAGTTTGAAAAGGTGTTCTTGTCAGTGTGACCTGTGCTCATGTCAGTTTGAAAAGGTGTTCTTGTCAGTGTGACCTGTGTGAAAAGGTGCTCTTGTCTGTGTGACCTGTGCTTATGTCATGTTTGAAAAAGTTCCCTTGTTAGTGTGACCTGTGCTCTTGTCAGTGTGATGTGTGCTCTTGTAGGTGTGATGTGTGCTCTTGTAGGTGTGATGTGTGCTCTTGTAGGTGTGATGTGTGCTCTTGTAGGTGTGAATTTGTGCTCTTAAAAACGACACCCGTGTCCTAGTGTCTAGCACGATATTATTCTCTGGATTGGCAATGCCACACAACATAACTTCATTTTAAGCACTGAAAAAACTCTTGAACTTAGGTTTAAAGTCAAACAGAATACAGGAATATCCAGCTAGACTGTGACTGGTGGGTACATTGTGAACCTGGACCACAGCAAAAGTCGCCAAACAAACCATCAAATTAGAAGTGGTTGAGAACTTGAACATGAACTACATTAAGAACTCTCAACATCAAAACAGAGAAGATATTTGGAAATTGCTGGGGTGTAAGTAGGTGATCTGAAATGATAGTGACTTCTGCAGTTTCAAGAGAATTTGAATAAAGAATTATAGTATATCATCCAGGGACAAGGGTGAATGACATAGAGGATAGAAGGAATAGTTTTGATTGTTGCCGCCGAAGGCGGCTAGTTTATTGTGCACCCCATACTCATCCTGTGAGCGGTAGCGCAAAAGCATTACAGAGGGCACAAAAGGTCTTTATCAGACCTCATCTTAGATTATTACATAAACAATTTCTTCAATCCTTCACACCTTATAGATACAATGTCAGCTAGTTACAGAGAAAGTGCTATTACAAGAGCTACATATTTACAGTAAGTCATCATACATTAATGGTAGGTCTTATCGTTAATACATAATAGTTTGGCCAATGGGGATATTACAGAGTCATAGGGGAGCTTCTGTTTATTATTAGTCCTCACAATACACTACTTGTTTCTGAATCTCATATGTCGTTCATCTACTGGAAGCAAAATGTGGGTACAGTGCAAGGATTTCAGGTAATTTATCCATGGTAATAAGATAGGTTGCCATATCATACAGAGTGAGCTTAGACTTATCTCTAAAAGGCTCAATTTTACAACAATCCAAGATATAGTGTTCGAGTGTGTGTCCCTGCCTATGTCCACACACTTTACACTTTACTTCATCTAGATCCCTATACAAGCCGAACTGCCAGAGATACTTGTAGCCAAGTCTTATACGAGCTGTGACAACATCTGTTAGTCTACTGACTTTGTTACTTGCCCCATACACATGTTTTACTTCACACATTTCATTGTGATGAACAATGGACCTACTAGTTCCAGTTTGCACTGTTCTACTTTCTTCAAATCCATCTAGGAGTTCTCGTCTAATGACACTTTTAAGGGACCTATTTGATAACTCAAGATTCCATTCAATACTGTCTTTATTTACTGCAGCCTTAGCAAGGGCGTCAACTTTGTCATGTTCCTGCATGCCAATGTGAGAAGGAATCCACAACATTTTTATATTTACCCTCTTGCTAAGTATTCTTACATATCTACGTCTAGCTTCCAAGACAAGCACGTTATTACTTGATTGCAAACTGTTTATTGCTCGTAGTGAGGATAGGGAGTCAGAAATAATTAAGCTGTCTACTTCAGTGTTGTCAATAATTTCGAGTGCTACCAGTATCGCTACCAACTCGGCCTGCATTGTGGACGCCCAGTTACTAATTCGGATATTTCTTTGAATTGTGCTGCCATCGGGCTGATGAGCAATAACAGCACTTCCTGCCCTCCCTGTAGCTGTATTGAGTGATCCGTCAGTGTATATGGTCTGTGCAATGTTGTTTTCAGCTTGTATATTGTGAATGTGCTCTATGGTGCTTAATTTAGCAGCAAGCTGAGCATGAGGGTTGCTTGTGATTAGTTTCTTGGTGGGGTATGCAGGGGTCAGGATGTCAAAAGGTACTATCTGCCAGGGTGGAAGGAAGTGCTGTACTCTTTCATCTGTATATACATCGTGCAGTCCCATCATTTTAATATGAGTGGCAGTTCTTTGAATCCATTTAGACTCGCTAGTTCCATTTCGTATGTGTTCTAACAGTGCAACTGACACAATGTTGTTTTTGTTATCACGCAGCAGCTTTAGTCCCATCATAAGATTAATTTCAAATATTCTATCTCGAATGCTAAGTATATTTAATTCTTTCCGCATGTTGAGAACTTTGGTAGTTATAGGACAGCCAAGTATAATTCTGAGTGCTTCATTTTGCATTTTTTCCAGTCTATCAATACTTTTGCCATTCTGCAGGACCAAAGCTGGTGCATGATAGTCTATCAGAGACCTTATATACGCTAAATACATCATTCTTGCTATTCTAATATTAACACCATATTTCGGGCTGTACCCCACTACAGTTCTGAGAGCCTTGAGTCTGTCTCTACATTGTTGATGTAACTTATTGACTGCAGTTGAGGTACAAGGGACAGAGACTCCAAGGTATTTGAAAGAAGAGACATAGTCTATTGGTATGTTGTCTATCTTAAGTTTTCGTGGTCCACTTTTGCGGTTGCCAATTTGTCTGTTAAATACCTTAGTTTTAGCAGCGTTGATTACAAGACCAAGGCTCTCACAAGCTGTATGTATACAATTTAAGACTGTTTGCATTTCGCGGTGGGTTTTAGTATGCACAAGGATGTCATCTGCATAGCTGATAGTGATGTTTGCCGGACTAGTTGGGATTGATTTTAGTAAAGCATTAATTAGAACATTAAACAAGGTAGGACTAAGTACTCCTCCTTGTGGGGTGCCTAGTTGCATTACTTTAGTTTCACTCTTGTAGCCTTGGAACAGTGCAGAGGACTTCCGGTTGGTAAGATAGCCTCGTATCCATTGTAATAAATGTCCCCCTATATCCATTCTCGCTAATTCATACATAATCACTTCCCTATTAGCAATATCAAAGGCATTTTTTAAATCAAGAAATGTTGTGTACTTGTGCCTTTTATCTCCATGAACAGTAAGAAAGGTTGTGATACAGTTGTGTACACTTTTACCATGTGTGAAACCATTGATATCAGGTGACATGTGCTCTTTAACTCTATACAATAATCTATTAAGCACCATTCTCTCAAAGGTTTTGCACATGCAACTGGTCAGTGAGATGGGACGGAAAGCATCAGGTTGTCCAGGCTTTGGTACAGGTACCGTAAGACTGGTGGTCCATGATACAGGCAACTGCCCAGTGACATAGCTGGCATTAAACAATTCTAATAATGGGTTACCGGGTACACGATGTAGGATTCTTAGAATATCATAGGTGATACCGTCCTCACCAGGAGCAGTGCTCCTACCCCTGGAGAGGGCTGCATCCAATTCATAATCTGTATATGGAACATCACATTCATCATGTTGCTTGCTCAACATGAAATTTATGAGAGCATTTCTGTCTGTGGACCTCTCCCGCAATTTCTCCCTAGTGCTAGCTGGTAACATTCCAAGGCTGGAAACCTGAGCCCATTTTGCAATTAACTGATTGGCTTTCTGTAGCGGGTTTGGGTGTGAAACTTGTCTACTATTTTTACCAATAATTTTGTTTATGCCTTTCCAGGCTTTGCCCAGGGGAGTATGCAGGTTAAGTCCACTAACAAAACCCTCCCATTTATTTTGTCTCAGTTCAGTCATTCTCTCCCTTGCCGCTGCAAGCGCGGCCTGAAACAGTTTTAACATTTGAGGAGTTCTAAGGTTCTTATATGCTTTACCTGTCTGTCTAGCAATTGATTTAAGCTCTTTCAGTTTAGCATCATCATAGTACTGGTTGTGTCTGACCTGTTTACCAGTACTTCTTTTTGTTTGGCGTAACTCACTATTTTTGATGGCCTCATAGGTATTATTTATGAGGTCATCATAAAACTGTTGTACATTCTCAGGCTCATAATTGTTATACCAATGTTCTATGCTGTCTATAAAGAATTTTTCTTGCTCTTTCCTTACTGTTAGCCTGCGTCTACTCAGCTTAGTGCCAGGTAGGTCAACATTAGCCACGTGTATGTTAGCTGTTATGGCTAAATGGTCAGACATTAAGTCATCCATAATATCAGTCTCATGAGTTGTGTATGACAGGTTAAAGCCAATGCACCTATCTAGGACTCCTCCATATATTTGCGTTGGTTGATTCTTACTGATAATTTGAACATCATCATATGCATCGAGAAGTGCCAACAATCTTCTCCCGTTGGTGTTTGTAAGTTGATCCCCTAATTGTTTGTGTTTAGCATTTAAATCCCCAATTAATATTGTAGAATCAGTATGTGCAAAACTAGGTAGGTCAGTATACTGGAAGAGGCCAGTAGGTGCATAGGCATTCAAAACATTAAGTGTAGAGTTACCAACGTGTACCCGGATACCATGATATTGAAACCCCTCTCGTTGTTGGGCGGGGAGTGGCTCATGCGGCAGGGATTTTTTAACATACATAAGACACGTATTTTTTGATCTGGGATTATAACACTGATAACTAGGCAAATTCTGCGGGGTTTTACCTGCGGGAGTTAGGGTTTCCTGGAGGCAGACAATATCTATGTCTTCAGTCATAACCTTATGATGGAGATCTGAATACCGTTTTCTAAGAGAAGCAATATTCCAACTGAGTATCTTGATGACACTGTACTTGTTCTTATGAGATTCAGAGGCCGCCATTGTTCTTTTGTACTTTATCAGTCTGCAGTTTCAGGAAAGCAAGTATGTTTACATACCGGTTGTAGTGCTTTATTACAGCTTCTTTTTCCTCTTCAGTCAGCACATCACCTGTCACCATTTCTTTAAATGTGTCACGGCGGAACCATCTGGGATGTGGCGTGCGCGGCCCGAGGCGGGCATCCACGTCCAGTTGAACTTCGTCACTATCACTACAAGCGTCACTGGTTTCACTTTGTTCTTTACCACAATCACTTTCAACATTTCCACTACTGTATTCCTTCAAACAGAGTTTATTAGACCCGGTATCAACATCTTGATCGTCATCATCATTAAAGTTCTCACCGTCAGTGTCACTACGTTGATCATCAGGATCAGTTGCGCCATAATACTCATCGACAGCACTATGCGTTTCTACGTGGAATAGTTTACCTCTGTTCATAGCGCACTGCGTTGATGAGGCTGGGGTGTGGGGAGCCGTGGTGGGAGAGTCCAGCTGGTGTGAGGGCTGGGACACGCCCTGCTGGGGTCTCCCCTGGGGTACTGGCCGCATGGGAGCACATGGTGGTACCCCAGGTTGGTGTGGCCTGCACTCAGTTATTAATACTCTCACAGTTTCCTGAAGAGTGGTTATCATCGTCTTTTGGTGCATGATTTCCTTATTTTCTTCGGTTATCTGCTTGGTCAGGTTTTCCACAATTTTGTTTTGTTTTTCTACTGTATGCATAAGCTCACTAATTTTCTGTGCCTGATCCAGGCCCCCCGACCAACATGAATTGGTAGGGCCTACAACTGTGTCACTCGAGCTACTAGCCGTGGCGTTGGAGTGGTTGGGTAAGGGAGGGGAGTGTGACGGGGCACAGCAGATGAGCCAGGGTGGTTACTGGCGCCCCCAGCTGGTGTACCCCGGGCAGCCCGTCTCGGCGGGAGTGAGGTACAGTCCCCATGCCAGGCGGGAACTCCCTCCATGTGACAGTTTGCACACCTCAGTTTTAGTGCACCACCCTTTTTAGCATCACACACAGACGTTGCATGCTTTCCGGCACAGTGGCCACACCGCTCATCATTCCAACAGTTCCTTGCAACATGATTCCACCGTTGGCACTTGTAACACCTGCGCCTGGGAGGGGTGTAAATCTTCATTGTTAGTTGCCGATAAGCACTTGGAACAGTAAATCTTTCCGGCGGAGTCTCTTCGCTGGTCCAGTTGGCGAGAATAGTCTCTCTGCCCTTAGTTCTTTTTGCATTGAAAATATATTCATGCTGCTCTACCAGTGTGTGATCCTGGTAGAGGTCCAGACCAAAAATGATGACAGGTGTCCTGTGGGTATGAGCAGGCGGTGGTGGTTTCCTCATTATTATACCAGCAAGCTCTTGAGTACAGAAATATTGCACCATCTCATCAGTACTGTTCATACGAACATGGTTTGCATGTCTATTCGCCAACCAATACCCACCACCAGGGTGTTTTTTGGCTGCCTCAGCCAACCATGCATATTTTGCTGCAGTTCCCGTGCCCGAGGGAAACTGCAGGTTGGTTCTTTTCTTCTCATGGTTACGATTTATGATATTTTTGACTCCTTGTGTCTTCCTCCGGGACGATACAGTTGTCCAAGGAGTTTCGTCACTATCAGGCTCCTCCTGTCCAGCATTTGAGTCCACTGTGAAAGATACCATGCTTGTATCTTCCTCGTGTAGACCACTTGATGTACTAGCACTCTGGTGTGAGGCCACTGAGGCAGCACCTGCCTTAGAGGCAGCAGTCGCCATGCCTCGAGTGTCGCCTGGGCAGGTTCACAGCTGCACACAGCACGAACCACAGAGTTACACATCAACCACACAGCAAAGGGACTCCAATCATATCGCACGATCAGAAGGAAAGATTCACACACTGTTTATGCATGCAGAAGCACTGCTAAGAGGCGGGGCACGAGGAGTTAGGCCTCTCTGCTCCACATAGGCGCGCTTGTTTTCAAGGTCACTCAGTCCGAGCTAAGATTCTTGCCAAATGTATCATTTTGTCACATGTGTAGCTCCTTAATGTGCACAAACACCTTCTGTATACAGTGTAATAAAACTAACCACTGAAAAATTATATATAACACTAACCGTACCGTAGTATTAATATCAGGTAGAGAGGTGTGAATAAGGTGCAGATACACTTGGCAACGCTGTGGTGTGTACCTGGCAGCAAGCGTTGTGCTGGCCTCCACCCCTCACACACACAAAATATATGAATCAGCAAAATTAAAAATTAAATATGCAATCTGGTATGCACATGACTTGAAACTGGAGTTATGTAAATTAATTGGATCAGGTAAAGCATAGTAAATTTTATCATAAAACTGAGAGATGTAAATTTCATGAAAATAATTACACAAGTATACAACACTCAACATGTAGTACAATATGATACTTAATAATGGATAAAATGTAGAAAAATATACACAAAAGAATTAACATGTAATGCAGAACATGTAGCAATAAGGCATCAAGAATTTAAAACAAATTAACTTTCTGTAGATGTGTAAATAATAATAATAATAATATTAATAATAAAAAAAAAAAAAAAGCACTGTGGAAAGAATACAAGAATATTCTGCAATGTTATAGCAACTGCTGTAATTAGCTTATAATAAAGTTATAGAGTACAGTACTATAAACACAGATACTGTAACATTTAATATAAAATGCTAAAGGAAACTTCAGATTAAGGTCTGGGGAAAACATAAAATTTGTCTATAATGCACTTCAACTGCTGAAAAAAAAAATATTATTTATACTTAATACACTGCACCAGAATGTACTTGGAATCACTTAACATAACATTACTAATGAACAATGGAACTTGTAGCACCAAACACCACAAAAAGGAATTGAGTGAGGAATGGGCAGCTAATTCCTCTTATCAAGTCACTGGAGGAAAGAAAATTTGATATACAGGGTTATTTCCTTATTAAATCGCAATTATTGTATAGCACAGTGTGTACTAGCTATAGTTTACTTAGCTTCGGGCTGTGGTATCCTCAGAACAACTTTGGCTATCGTGAAAAACAATCCATGAGGAGTCGTGTGGGGAGGGGGGGTGGAGGTGTCTAGACATGTGAGGTGTTCTGTCCTGGTTTGGAGTTGGTAGTTAGTACATGCTGATGTTGAATGATGTAAACTATCAACTTGAAAGGTAAAGCACGAGTAATGAAGTATTATTAATAAATAATTTGGAATAATTTAAAAAATCTCCAAGTATGCAAATGACGAGATTTACCTCACGAAAAAAGGAAGTCGCTCCTGTGGAGTCATTAGAGGAAGTAGTGAGTTAGAGTTAAATGCCTGTAGAGTTAAATGACTCAAGAGTTAAGAATAAAATGAGTTGCGAGACAGCGGTTCCTGCGTGTAAAACAGGAACGGAAGGACGACTCATAAAGGTTTTAACACTGTTAGAATAAACAACAAACAAAAATATTCGTTCCTTTAAAAACATTGCAATGTATCAATATAAAATTAATGATGCACAGGTAGACTATACTAACTACATTAATGTGATGAACAACTTGCATGTCTTCATGGTACTAGTGTGCACTGAAATAATAATTGACATAATTGCATTCGCAGAAACATAGTTGAATATTTATAAAAGAGATTCGTTAACTGTGTACAGGATCAAGTGATATAAGCTTTATTATGATAACAGAAGATACAGGAATCTAGTTCACACTGCTCCTCCTGCTTCTAATGCTGCTGGTGTCTACTCTATTTCTTGTTCGTCTTGTCCTCTCCAATACTTTGGCGAAACTGGCCGTACACTGAATGACAGACTTAAAGAACACAAGAGAAGTGTTAAGTCTGCAGACACTAACAATGCTCTCTTCTGTCATGTGAGGGATTCTAATCATCCCATTGATTGGTCTTTCTCCAAAATAATCTTTCCTGCCTCTATTCTACACAGACGCCGTCTTGTTGAATCGGCTCTAATACACAATGTACCCAACATGAACTTGAGTCCTGGCTTTGTTGCTGTGGACTCTTCCCTTTCACAGTATATACTCAAGTGTTCTAATCTTTCTAACAAACGTGATCTAACATAAGATAATCCTTCCATTTATCTTTCTTTCTCTTTCCTTTTCTTTCTCTCTTCTCTCTCTTTTTTGTGTGCATTGTCTTCTCCTACGTTCCCTTCCTATCCTCTTCTTTTTCCTATTACTATCTCCTTCTCATTCGGTGGTAATAATAGGAGCTGCCTCGTATGGGTCAATAGGCCCTCTGTAGTTCTATCCTCTCTACTACACCGTACTTTGATTCTCACCTCTCTCTTGCCTATTTATTGCCTGTTTCTACTTCCTCATCACAATCGACTTGAGAATGGTCCAGGACGGACCGAAACGTCGTCGTCCTTTCACCTTCTAGTGTGTGGTCTGGTCAACTGATATACATGGCTGTGGAACCGTTATACACGTATGGCATAATATAGTTATAATTATTTCTAATAGGCTGTATACTACACATATAATAACTCATTGAACAATAACTGCTGATCAATAACTCAGTGATACTGATCCTGTTGCAGCTGGGGCGACTGGCGCAGCTGCTGGGGGTCTTCCCAAGCTTCAACATGGGCGGCCTCTTCGTTGTCTCCAGGGCCAGGATGGCTGGTGTGAGTTACTGTGGGGAATGGTTTATTTCCTGGATGGCTGTGTAAGTCAGTGTGGTAAATGGTTCAGTTCCAGGCTTACTATGTAAGTCAGTGTGGTAGATGGTTCAGTTCCAGGCTTGCTGTGTAAGTCAGTGTGGTAGATGGTTCAGTTTCAGGCTTGCTGTGTAAGTCAGTGTGGTAGATGGTTCAGTTTCAGGCTTGCTGTGTAAGTCAGTGTGGTAGATGGTTCAATTGCAGGCTTGCTGTGTAAGTCAGTATCAGTATGGTTCGTGACTGTCTACACACCTGTCCAGAACCGTGTACACGTGACTGTTTACACACTTGTCCAGAACTGTGTACACGTGACTGTTTACACACCTGCCCAGAACTGTGTACACCTGACAGTCAACACACCTGCCACACTCCTGGTGAGTACTCCACAGTCTCTCGAAGAGAACCTGCTTCATTATAAACAATGAACACAACCTTATCACTTTCGCCCGGGCATGACGCAATGCTGCGTCGTCCACTAAAATAATCGCCAAAAATCAGGTTTTTATCCGATTTTTTTGGGACTGTTTGGTAACTGTCAACAAGCCGAATGCAATCTGTGACTACAATACAAACATGAAAGGTGTTGATCACTTTGACCAAATGATCAAATATTATCACTTCATAAGGAAAACTCACAAATGGATGAAGAAAATGACCTTCTATTTTGTGCAAATGGCTATCTACAATGCTTATGTGATGTACAGCTACTACACAAAAAATACTAAACTATAATACTAAATATACTAAAATACTAAATT